CAAGCCACTGTCTACGACGCTTAACATTTCGATAAAAGATCCATTTTTCGTTGCCAGTCACAAGTCTATCCAAAAAAGGTGAAACAAGTTGGCGAGAATGGAGAGAAGAGCAGATGTCAACTCGGGATTTGAGGTTGTTTTCAGACAATTCATGAGGCACCCATTTTCCAAGTTTAGGAACTTTTCCAAGTTATTGAAGATGATGATGAACAGTTGTATGGTTTGAACTGAGAACCACTGCCAATTCCTCAACTGTTAAAGCAGGATTTTCTTCAAGGGCTGCTTAAAGAAGTTTTTCATCAAACTCAACTGGACGTCCGGTTCGATCTTCATCTTCAAGGGTGAAATCTCCACCTCTGAATTTTGTAAACCATCTTCTGCAAGTTCTTTCATTCACACATTCCTCTCCATAAACTGAGTGAATGTTTCTAGCCGCTTCGGCTGCTGAGTTTCCTTTCTTGAACTCATAAAGCATTATGTGCCTCAAATGATTCTTGGGTACTTCCATGTTAGCAGGGTTTTAATCAAACAAAATTTAATTTTATTGTTCTCTGAAAAAGTTATAATTCGGACAGAACTTATGGGATGACCTGATATATATATATATATATATATATATATATATATATATATATATATATATATAGAAAAAACGTAAACATTCCTGATAAGGGATAATAAATTAGCCGAAAGCACTCGGATCCAAAGATCATTTCGACAGTTCTTACACACTCTATTGTCAAAAAAGAAAGCTATTGTACGCATGCAAGACGCAAAAAATATAATAAAAAGATTAATCGGAGTGCCTTATTTGTCGTCTTCAATGAAACACACACAGATATATATATATATATATATATATATATATGTGTGTGTGTGTGTGTGTGTATTCGACTCTTCCGTCGTATTCGACGTATGAAGGTCAAGCAGCTCAGTTCCTAGGAAACGACAGCCAGACACTAGCACATGCGATTTGATTATAGAGGTGAAGGTTTTGTGCAGAGCCATCCACAGTTTTTCAAGGGCCAAATACAGTGACCCTCCGCAGATTTTGAATTGAGAGTTGTCCTTCTCCTAGACCAGTTGCTGTCCAAGGCTATAAAACCCAGTCCGTCTTGCTAATTAACTGGAGGGAGAAGAAGAGGATTCATACCTTTCCCAAGGGTATTAGCATATAAATGAATGTAATGGATTCGACTGGAAATCTGACCATGAGACACGGGCTCCGACGAAAATTTCTCGGACATTCAGGCCGGTAATACTGTTTATTATAAACAGAGCATTTACTTAAATATTTGTATCTATAAAAAGAATGTTAAACATAAAAATGTCTTAAAATAATTGTCGGACTTTGTCCATTTCATAATGTGTGACGTCATTTGTTTTCATTTGATACGCCATGAACAGATATGAATGTACGTGATCGATTCATGGAAGATTGAAGTTTAAATACAGTAAATTCGAACTCGTTAACCGAACGCTCCTCTGTGACCAAATAGGTTAAAGGCACGTCAAGCTAAATGACGGTTCCGTATAGGATACAGGTTTGAATCCTGTCGGAGGACGAATATTTTCTATGAAAATTTACCGTGCATTCAGGCCGAAAAATGTTGTTAATATTGTTTATTATAAACAGAGCATTTACTTAAATATTTATATCTATAAAAAGAAAGTTAAACATAAAAATGTCTGAAAATAATTATCGGGCTTTGTCCATTTCATAATGTGTGTGTGTGTCCATTTCATGATGTGTATGTGTATATAAACTGACACGTGGAAACGTGATATATTTTTTAAAAAATGGTTATGCCCTGTAAAAAACGCAATACTGGAAAAAGATAAAACTTACATATCACAATACATATATGCAGTCAAATCACTGGCTGCAAAAGCGCTTCGATAATGACTTGTCAGCGCCGAAAGTACTCGGAAATTACGTAATTTATATTGACATTTTCACCACTATGGGTGATCTTCGTTTTCTATGTGCTTTTTCCTTCTTCCGGACGTTATATATATATATATATATATATATATATATATATATATATATATATATATATATATATATATATATATATATATATATATATATATAAAAATACAAGTTTAGGGGCACAGTCTGGATGTCGAAGAATCATCTAAAAGTTGTATATCTTTTTCAAAAATAATTCACTATCTCAGTCAGTTCCCAAGGGTATTAACATGTAACGGAATGTAATGGATTCGACTGGAATTCGAACTCGTCTCTGCGATTTCTCAATCCGCGCCGTTAGCCATTACTCCGCCGCAAGAAGAGTGCGGACGTGATGCACGAACGTATTAAATAGATTCACCAGCCTAGGTTACTAAAGAGTTAATTCAAGCAAAAAATGTAGGAAATTGACTAATTGTGAAATTCAGAAGGTGGCCACAAAATTTTAGTCTCTCTCTCTCTCTCTCTCTCTCTATATATATATATATATATATATATATATATATATATATATCAAAGATACCT